AACGGCGCTTGTTGTGATTGCAATGCACATAGAGGGCTACTGGTTAGATAACAGGTCTTTTTGATAAGAAGGGGAGAGCGGTGGAATAGAAAACGATGAGAAATAAGAAGTTCAATAGAGAAGGATAAAGGAGAATGACCACGGAAGAATGGGTAGGAATTTCTTTAGACAAAAATGATTTTCTAAGATGCAGGTGGTTCTTTGAGCCAAGGAAAACTGATTCTGCTCACCTATTTGCCGCTGTCGGAGCAGCTCTGACTAAGCAAAATTTCGAAATCTGAAGGGTCCGCTGACTAAGCGAGAAGATCCTAATCGCTGGCCAAATAAACTTGCAAAACAAGCCCGTATAACTGACGAAAACAAAGCCGAACGACCGAATCGCAACGCCTTCGGAATCATCGTCGCAATACTGGCTGATCGATAAGCGAAACGAGCACCCGTCGCTGTCATAAACATAGCCATAAAAGGGGCTTTTGATGACCTCTTACGCTGTTGCGATTTGAAAGTTGCGACTTACTCGATTGTAATGTGCTGGGATTATGGTTAGTAAACAAGTATGGCTGATACCTGGCAATCTGCCAGAATCATTATTCCGATCAGGTTGCGCAAAGTCACAGTTAAGAGGGCATTCTGATTTCTGGCAAAGCTCCAATTTGAAGGGGCGTTTTCAAATGGGCACAAATAATTAAAGAATTCTGCAGCAATGCTGGAAATGATGACCTCTCATGTGGTACGGGCCTGGATTTTCCGCTTCTTGTCTTATCTCTATATTTAGATGATGGGATTTGTTTGATTTCGTTATACTACCTGCAAGTGACCAGATGCCTGTAGAAACTTAGACACTTCACCGGAACTTCCGCTGGACAGGTAAAGTTTACAGCGGTTCCGCAGAATTTCGTTTACTATTGCAAAAGTGGAAACGTTGAAAATGAAAACTCCGCAGGACTTTTTACAAAGCGCTGCGGAACTTCGGAAAAATGCAAGCAGTTCCGCAGCACTTTGACATAGGTACCAGCACTTCCGCAGGTTCTTGAATGTGTTGTCTTGTACGATGTTACCTCACCAACAACGAGTGCATTATCAAACAAGTCATCCCTAGTGCAGAGAATAGTAGGCGAGTATCGCGCTCAATACAGTAAGGTTCAAATCTCACTCGGGTGTTCTCTTTTGCGGTTGTGGCTGGCATTCTTTAGAACTTTCGCAGCACGTTCATGGAACTTCCGCATGTGACCCTGCAAAACTTCCCAAACGCTCTGCGGAAGTTCCGAGTTGTCTGAGGATACAAATGAAACGACCATCTTTTTTCCAACGTCTTATGAAAATGCTTGCTACTAACGTAGTGATTTCTCTGAGCATTCCGAGCTTTTCATTTCTGATTTCTTGTAATGAAGACAAAGTTTTGATGATTCAGATGGTACGATTACCTACTTTCCACACTATCACAGTTTTGCAGCAGTCTCCCATAAATACTTCCCCCCTCCCCCCCCCCCCCTACTGTGTCACACTGATATATTCATTATGGAGTTTTTGATCGCCGCTCTTTTTCAAAGACACTTTGAAACTCTTTGGAAACTCTTATATAAAAGTGCATTCAGCGCCGCGTCCATAACGCGCCGGAAATGACATCGTTCTATCAGAAAAAACTGCCCGATGATCAACACGACCTGGAAGGTGTAAACTTTCCGAGCTCGTTGGGGAAGATTGAATGGTTCGAGATGTATCAAAACTACGTGACATACAAAAATTTGTTAACAATAGGGGTCCATAAATGATCAGGGCTCGGCACAGATAAGCAAGCTGTATATCGTTTTTGGGACAAAACCAAAGGGGATACCGTTTTTGTGGCCGAAAAAACGCAAAGGCTCGTCTTTTCGGCGTTACATTTTTTTTGAGAAATTTTTACGTTTGGGGTTTAGGACCAAAGAGGACTTCGAAAAACATGCGAAAGTCATGGGGGACTCCGTATTTTGCATTTTCGGAAAGCCACCCAGAGCTGGAAATGACTGTTGTTGTATGCTTGAGATCAATATCACCACATCTATCAACAAAAACTTGAATTTTTTTCGAAAAACTGCTTAGATGGAAATCGAGTTTTTTTTTAATGATTCGTTAGATGTGTTGGGGAGCAAAAGCTGTCTCTGTCTGAGATACTAGAGAGTGGACGATTGCACATAAGATGCTTGGAGAATTCTTAGGTGAACTTTCGGAAACTTTTTTTTGCACAACTCCAACAGTATTTGCCAGACAATTTGCCGGAACTTCCGCAGCACAAACAGAATTTGCAGCGATTCCGCAGCCCAATCTCAACCATTGAGAAAGTGCACGCTTCATTATGCAGGATTTCAGGGGTCAACCAGGGTAACGCAACTTTGGTACAAATTGCAATTTTTGGAGCTTACATCCCTGTAGTCGCTGAATTAAAACAGTCATAGTTTGCGGTCTCCTTGATTGGCGATTCGGTTACTGTTTGGAACTGGCAATTGCTGAGTTTTTGATAGTAATGTCTCTTCAACACGTGTTCTAAATAAAGGTAAAAAGGGTACAAAATAGACAATCAAAAGACTGCTTCGATATATCCCATAGAAAGATTACTTTTTTGGGGAGTGGTGGGAGGGGGGGGCAGCCACCCATGAACGATAGCTTGTGGCAGTTACATGCGTTGAGTAAGTCAAATGTCTTTCAAATTCTACATTTACGCTATGATGATATTCAGAAATGTGGAGAAAAAAACGCTGGGAGCTTGGTGTGCCCTAATTCTTAGTGTTCGACACCATTTTCGATCCACTGAAGAACACAACGCTTCGAAAAATAAGACTTTATGCGCGACATATTAACAAGCGCAGGAGTAAGTATGCTTATTTGCACCTATCATTCACCTTGGCATACACCCCTTCTTTGGTGCAATATGACGTTCAATTATGGAATTTAGGTTAACAAGCTATTTCACTCACCAAAACGTTCCTGTGTGACGAAATCAAAGCATGACCAGGCTCCCACAATCCACAGTTCGAGAAAGGTGAGATTTGATACTGTGGCCAAACAGAAAACTGATGTGTTGAAGGGGCACAACTGTTCTGAATGTGATGAGAAGAAAGCGGTCTAGGAGGGTTGTGGTGACCGACCGTTCGTAAATCTTCCGCCGCCGTCGCCGACGACAGAAGACCTACGATCCATCAATGCACAGTCAATACATACCACACTCACACACACAACAGACTATTCTTCTGCCCAGCACAACCTTTTGTCATAAATGAAGCCGGTCTTACAGGGAACACATGGATGAGTTCTAGAAAAGGAGAATAAGTGGATACATGCAGCTATTGCGCAAAATTGTGGTTTCATCCATCATTGTCACCAATTTTCCCTTACAATTCGGGCACTTCTGATGGCAGTACAGGAGAAAGTTTACGGCTACTGTAAGTATAATTATACGTGACTCACTGAGTTGTACTCTACCGCCACTTCTTTCAGTATACGGTAGGCATGTACGATTACAAAGAGTAGATACGTAAAAAACAAAAGAGTAGGGTTGAAGAAAAAAAAGAGGAGGAGAAAGCTCAGGAATGAGGAATGATTGAAAGTATTTTATCCCATGAAAGGGGAAATTTCTACAGTCGATCAATAAATGATCAAATGGGTTATTATATATCATGACCCAACCACACATTCGTGAATTTGGAGAAGATCTACTTTTAGAATGTATTCCAATTTCCACATTTTTCGCAATCATAAACTGTTGCCAGTAAAATAAACTACTGAGATTCAATCAAATGATGCTCAAGGATTTTTTAATATAAAGTTCGCTTGCTAACTACTGCACGAATATTATTTTCGTTTGGCACAAAAATACAGTCGCTTCATTTCATATGATCATGTGTGCCATTGCACACACATTCCACTTTGGCGTCCTCATCCTGGATTTGCAATCGCTAAAACGCAAGAGACTTACCGATTGTTATCGATTACATCAATTTGAGGTGACTAGTAACTAAAAAGGAAAGAAAATGCTAAGAACACCTTGGAAACACTTACCTGAAGGCTTGTTTCTTCCACGAATCCAGGATGGGGACGCCAAAGGTGAAATGTGTGTGCAATGACACACATGATCATATGAAATGAAGCGACTGTATGCATGAGTATGCGCGTGTAATTTATTTGACAATTTGCGAGCCTGCACACTGGGCGCAGCGAGCGACGACACCTCGCTAGTAATTCGTTAATAAACCACCATCTATTGTAATGTGGAAGTGTGATACTATCTAGTAAAAATCCAACCAAACCAAACAGGGAAGAAAACAGGGAGAAATTCTTATCCCAGATCCTAATCTTGCAAGTCGTGAACTAACGTGCGCTGTGTGCAATACGCATAATAGGTTATTGAGAATGAATCGACGATAAAGAAGTCAAAAGAACAACGGTTAAAGTTTGAGGATCATTTTTGGCTGAATACGATTTCTCGTTTTCTGCTGCTTCTTATTTGCGCTGCTGAATATTGAGCAATCGCTTCGCTTCTCTTTAAGGTCCAGGATTTGCGCACTTACACGAAATGACTGCCGACTCTAACTGATACACTACGAGCCATATAGGGAATGTATTTATCGAAAAAATCGAAAATTGGAAAATGGACAGACAGAAGAGCGTTCTCGACTTTCTATGAATACACCCTATATCTTTTCGACTTTAGCTCTTCTTCCTTACAATATTTATACAGCATATCTCAAGTTTATTATAAGCGCCTAGTGGCAATTTTTCTACTGTGCTTGTACTTCAAAATGTGTCGAATGTAGTGATAGGTACGAAAGTTCGCATTGCTCGCTTTATACTATAGAAGTAGTTATCGATATTGGCATAGCCTTTCATACCTCTGTCCCTCTCAAACTCCCCGGAATCCCGCCGTAGTGTCCTAATGCGACTAGCTGTTGTTTTGGTAGAGTTTTTGTAATAGTTGTGTGACACACCGAGATGCCCGATGCGCTCCCATCCCTAATCCTTCTTTTGCTATGGCGGCTCGTGCCATAGCCGTACAGCGCCCCACACACAGATACCGCCAAGCCGAAGCCGTCCACGGCTTGATGGATGGTGTGCGTAAGCCGCTGCCGCAGATTCCAACCTCAACACCAACTGCTGGTGCACAGTAGGACGTCCGAGAGTGGCGGAAAAACATTCGGACATTTTTCAACACTTAGGCCCTCCTTTCATATCTGCGTCTTTGTTAAGTGGAAGGTAAAAGTAATAGAAAAGCCGCATAGTCAATCCAGCATCGATTCTTCGACCTTCCTCCCCCTTTTCTCGCACACCTAACATAAGAACTAGTAGGGTTAGAGCTAGCAGTACAGTAGAGTTCTGTGAAATCATTCCGGCATGCAATTATTCCTTCAATCACCCCCACCCCTTCCATCCTAGCCTTAGCTCTATCTTCTCATCCATCCTAAAATTGTGGGCACTACTGGTTTTTTTTGAAAATACCCTTTCCCCTCTCCCTCGCCTTCCGGCTTCCTTCATCTGGCTCCCCTCATTCAACCTACTCAAAGGGAGTTCGTTTTGAATGAGCTCCTTGCCAACAACGCCTTACAATCACTCAGCGATTTCGCTATCTTCGTCCTATATCCGCTTTAGTTACCTTCTGCCTCCCCCCTTTTTGTGCTTTCGAGACTGCTCGAATTTAGAAGATGGTCTCTTATGAAATTCCATTAAAACTTGTTTCTAGTAAGAGTAACTTTATGAATAGAGCTCAAAGTCAGCTGCAGATAAAATGATTGATTCTGGCAACCTTTGCGAAAACCCTCAAACCTAAGAGTGGATAAAGCTCCCCTTGATTCAAATTTGTGTCTCACCCTCGCATTCGCAGCCTAAAGCCTTTTGGAACTTGTGTCTTACCCTCGTAACCACCCACAAAGCTTCTGGGACCGTAACTGCCTTTAAGCGTTTGAAGATTTGGTTCCAAAAAATATAATTTGGCCAGTCTCGTACACTGTATACATCACTAACCTATCTCTTTTCTACCCGTTCCCAATTCGTGATAGCGATTGACAGTCTTCTCAAAAAGTTGAGATTGGAACAGCCTCCTGCAATCTGAATTACTAAGACAGCAAAAAAAAAAAGACAACTTTGAGTGGAAAGCTAGGCGCCATACTTAACCATCTGCTCGGCTGTTATGAAACAACCCTAGATCAGACACAGTTACGAGTTTATTTCGCAAACGTAGCCTTTTTGAGGTCGCCGACATTTTATGGTTCCATTAACCTGCAGCTAAGAGACAGATAGCCAATCTTATCGTAGCAGCTGTTTACATTTAAACAACAGGCTATTCTCTGGACATTTAGCCCTCCCCTTGTGGACTTGGGGGGGGGGGGGGGACTTGCAAAATTCTGTTGAGTCTTTTTCTCAAGATATGCGTAAAAGGCTAGAGAATAACATTTTGTCACCGGCGAATCGCGAATGGCCAACGAACGCCCTCACCTCGCTGTTATCACCGATCGGCCTTGGTGTAAGTTATTGAAGTCACCTAGCGCAACTGACAATGACAAATTGCACCGTAATCACATATATGGTGATCTTATCACCTTTTACCATCCACATACACCCACTCGTGCACACTAGACAGAGATTAGCATCGCTAAAGGTGTTGAGAGTTATTGAAGGTTAACGCATGGTGATTTGGGTATTACAGTAAGGTGACGTCATCTCCCAAAGATAGTTTCTGCGGATCATCTAGAAAAAATACTTCTTATTAGTAGCAATGCTAGTTTTTTCAGCATTTCTCAACCAAGTTTTGATGTGTTTCGAAAAGAGAAACAAAGGGGAAAACTGAGAATCCTTGAATAAAATAGAAAATTGACAGTGAGTAGCCAGAATTGCGACTGGCTATGTATGGTATTTAATGCCACAATGTTGTAATCCAAAATGGTGAAAATGTGGAAAGCTGGGTCTAGTGAAAAAATGACTAAAAATCCTTAAGGAAATTTCTACTCCGGCGCTGTGATTCAATCGTGGCCGAGGAACTCAGTTCTCAATTCTCGCCCACACCGTAGTCTCTCCGAACAGGCCAATTAGCGTCCTCGAGCTGAGAGAAACAATCTGTACACTAACTCCGAACACATAAATTCCAAACTGTCTGTGCTGCGAATTACTGTTGATCTTTCGACGTTGAAGGATATTTGCAATTTTTTGAAGTCAAGAAAAACCCGTGTAGCCCTTGTTACCCTACCCCTTTTTACTCGCGTTTTGTATACGGTTGGCTATAAGTTTACGGTTGCTGTAAGTTTAGTAATTATGTGTAAATAATTTGATTATTCCGATTCACTGAATTGTATTATACCGCCACTTTTCAATATACGTTAGGCAAGGGTTGGGATAAGTAAGGAAACAAAGGAGTAGAACTGAAGAGAAAGAAATAAAGAAGGTCTTGCTAAACTCTGCATTCTTGTTGTTCGTGGTGGACGACGAAAAATTTTAAAAAACTCTATCTTACGCCTTCAACGTCTTATTGCCAATAACGTACATTTTCCCAGCGTTCGAAATGAAAATTTATCGCTCAAACATGGCCATGTTCTGTATTTTTAGTCTGGTTGTTTTTGAAGCTCATTTATTAGTGTTGAAATCATATTCCTCGTGCTCCGAAATCAATACGCATGGCCAATATGCCAATGTAGAAAAGTGGGTTTTCTCTTTCGCGGGATTGTTTGTCTAACAAATTCTATTCTTTCCAGGCACTTCCAAATCGCTTTCGAATTGTTCTTCTTAGGTGCAACGGAATGCAACCCACTCCATCACCCTTTGCAGGACGGCATAATCAATCCTCTTGCAAGGTTGAGGTACACACGTGGGCAGTGCAGGAGTAAGAAATGGATGATTCGAATGTTTTCGCTAGTAGGGTGGAAGGAGAACTTTCAACCTTTTCGCTGAGAGGGTCTATTGTCAAGAGAACGTTGTGCTCAATAATATCATGAGTGAAACTACGGGTATCCTTGTATAAGGGCGCGCATACCCTACTATTCTCGTATGGGTTGCCTCAGATCAATTTATAAACTCCTATCCCATCTCCCTCGCACTATCACTAACCTTTAGGAATGCTAAACTCTAGGGAATAGTAGTGAGAAGAGCATAACATACCATGTGGGACATTGCGAAATGCCCTATTCATTGCACTTTGTCAGTACATATCGTCAAGGCAATAGGACAGAAAAAAGCCACCTTTTCATCATTTTTCCAAGGTCTATTTTCTGCCAGCTATATGGGAAGAAACAATAGAATGGATGGCAACAACTGTTATATCAGAGCGCAAGAACATGATCAATTGTTAAATGCCGAACAGCAATTAGGTGGGACAGGGGAGCTTCAGCTGACAAAAATCTGCACCAAAATCGAACCTTTAAAAATAATCTTTCAAGCAAATTTCTGTAAATAAGGTGGTAATCGATTGCAGAAGATTCGTGCTAATTATTTTTTAAATCACTTTTTTCGCTCCATTCTCATTTTCACCGAACGTGCTCAACGCGTTCCGTATAAACCAATGAAAGACGTTTTTTGTGGACTGACAGAGTTGCAATACAAAATTCCTATAGATGACGTTGCCCATGTGAGATTGTGACAGTTTCTGAACAGGGACAGTGATCCAGCCGATCGATATAGGACTTTTACTCGTACTCGAACCCGAACATACCTATGTGAATCATAGCCAATCAGACCAAACAAGTTCAAACTTTTGTTACAGCTCATATCGGATATCCTGCTCCTACATGAGAAAAAAAACAGGTTTAGACTTGTTAAAGGGCGCGCGCATGCTTACAGTCAATCGTTTGGTAACCTATGGATAGTGTGCGAATACACACAAAATCATATTGCGCGTAAGACTCTCGATTTGATTAAATATAGGCGCACACTTCTTCGTGCCATTTCTTATTGCGTCAGCCCTTTTTCTCAATTTTGTTTTTACAAAAGCGACCGGTAGCTAGTGCGTCATTGAAATTATCAATAAAACAGGTAAAGGCATTCAAGATAATACGAACAATATGAACGTTGTGTGCATTCGCACATAATACTGTGCAAGTGTATACTACAGTTAATCAACTTTACTCTGTTGTGTAATGGCACAACGACCAGAAGAGTGTCGTAATTAACACCGAAAGAAGTCCGCAGAAGCCAGATCAGTTGCGTAATTCACCTTTGATTATGCACAACAAGTTTCTTTATGCCTCGGACATACTTCACGCGATTACAGTCGCAACGCGATTTGGCAACATTCAAATGCTCATAACTCATCGTGAGCGCACTCTGAATACACAAAAGTAAAGTATTTTACTAGTCTATCTGAGTCACCGTGCTATGCTTTTAGAGTGTGCCACTGTCGGATTTGAAGACATTTGGCAATTTGCCAGATCATCTAGCGACTGAGATCGCGTGAAGTATGCCCGAGGCCTTAGTTGCTTGCATAATTTTCTTCCATTAAAAAGGGATTATTTGAAAGGTTGCAGGCATATCATGAGCTTGAAATACCGTATTTATACCTTACTAGCACAGTAGTTGTAACGTAATTGAGTAAAAATTCAAAAATTTACAGAAAATACTGTAAAAAAATGCTGATCCAAGAAATGAGAAAAATACCTTGATTGGAAGCGGGGAATCCGAGTTATGATGTGGAGATGTTGATGCGCTGGGTTGGCTGCGAGGGTTGCGAACGTGGTCGGCAGAGAGTGATCGAGCACGTCCCGGCAGGTCTTCGGCCGCTCTCTGATGATTAATGCTGCGACTCCGCCATCAACCCGCATCGTGAGCGTGTGCAATGCGTTTAGATTTATATGCCCCTCTCTTGCAGTTTGGAAATCATTTTGTGCATGTGCAAGATTTTTTATACTTCATAATTTTGCTTTTCAAAATTTGTTGACAAGTAACTTTGTCACAAAAAATACGAAACATTCACCTCAAGTAAAACACCAATCTGACCTTTAGGAAGTCAGACTAATCACAGAATGGTCAGAACTTATTCCAAGCCTTCCAAACAAGCTAGATATCGTCGAACTTGCCTTAAAATGCCAATTTCAAGTATATGTTTATCATCTGCTAAGCGACTATCTGATATGATCTATAAGCGTTTCAATGTGCGGATTTGTTAACCTTGTAGGTCTTCCACGAAAAACACTTCAAAGCACTTGTTTAGGTTTTTGGTAAACATAATTTTTCCTTGTGATAATAACACCCTGATTACGCGCCCTCAGACAGCCTTTTTAACAAACTTCAGTCACTGAGAGTTGAACAAGTTCTCATACTTAAACGCCCGTAACTCCTTCCAGATAGTCGCTTGGCAAATAATAAGCATATATCTGAAACCAGCGTTTTAAGGCGAGTCATGGAATGGAAAGTGTATCATGGAATTGCTGGGTTAAGTTCTGGCCATACCCTTGTGAGCAGTAGCAGGCCGAACTCCACAGTATCCATTTCGCTTGACGTCATTGTAGATCTTCAAGGGTGTTTGGTATCTTCGATCCTTTTCTCACGTTTTGCTTTTGTTTATCAAAATTTGAATGTAGGTATTCGTGGACGCGTTTGAACGGCGAATCGACTCTCTTGTTCAGTTACCCATGTTAAATTGACATTGGGAAGTTCCATAGTACCTCAGTGTTTTCCGAACACTAACGAAGAAAATAAGACTTCGATGCCTTCCCTAATTTCACAAGCTACTTCCACAAGCTACTCACTTCCATTGATGGTCACCCTTTTGCATAGTTTCAGGGCATTCATTTTTCCGTCAAGTTCTGCAGAAAATAGAACAGTACAGTAGGACAACTTGTCATTAGGGAAAAGAAAGAAATGTTAGCAAGGCTTGGCTGCGCAGGCCCTTGAAATGAAAAAATTGAAGTTACGCAAAACAAAACCCAAAAATTCAGTTCTTAGTCTAAAAGAAGAACAGCATCAAAATTGACTTCTTATTCTTTGTATCGCAGAATTTTTTTCTTTATTAATGCTTTTCAGAGCTAAAACACGTTTTCTTTTATGATGAGATTCGAGAGAACCTTCAAACACTATTAAGAATCGATTTACCACTCTTTTTTGATAGAATTTTTACCATTCAGAGTGAGCCACTATCTGCTTTGCTTACTTCGACAGCACAAAATCACACAGTTCACGACCGACTTGAAAGAGATGGAGAATGTTAAATCAATCTTTTCATTCAGTTTTCTAGTCAGCAGTGTGCCTGTGCATTGCACAAGCATTTTTGTGAGAAATCTTCAACTTTCCTACTCTTTCGATGACAGATTTCACTTCAAATATACCTAAGAGCGCTTGGTAGAGTTTCGCATAACTAGGTCCAAGTCTTTCGCGTAAAATGATTATTCATATCACATAGCCTATCTATATTTGGAAGCATATTTTGTCTTGAAATAGCATTCAGCAAAAGAGTCGAGATGCTGTAGCTTTTGCTACGTAAGTTTGATATCGAATAAATCGCCGAATTTACGGTTTATCGAATCGAATCAATTTTTGAGAATCAATTTTTCTAATCCATCTTTACACTAGTATAATTTGTATTAACTAATGAATCATAATCCTAAAGGTGTCAGAGTATCCGCTCGGTTCAGGACCACATTGCGGTTCCCGCCGTCTGATGTTTTTTGTATTGGCCTTACGATTCTTTATATATTAGATAGATTAGCTCCGAAGGGACCTTTGCCGCAAGACTCGTGCTATGCCACAAACTCTGCCCCAAAAGGTTTTTTTCTTCCAGGTTCATGGCTCCTTGGAGCTTCTTCAATTCATAGAAATCGCACTGGCCAGCTCTGTATCGCTTCTCTGGCATCATACTTCCTCATTCATCATAATCATTCGTTGTTATCTATCGTGTTCATGCACCATTGAACAACATTCAAGAGCTATACGCCACTAGCGTCGTGCTTTGGTATTGGTCGTATTGAGAGCAAGATTTCATCTACACAGCGAATCTTCGCGCTAATCCAAATGGCGTGCGTGATTTTCTCTGAGATACTGTAGTTTTTTGCTCGCAATTTCGGTGCGTAAAATAGTCGAAACACTTAGAAATTCGAAAAATTCCTTCTGTGGACTCACTCACTTTTTTGGAATCTTGTACTCAATTTTGCTGATGGCAAAAATGAGCAAAGCATCAATGAAGCTATCTCGCAACCATTTACTCCTACATAATTCCGTCTTCCACTTTTACTTTGTCCCCTTAATTCTTGATTTTTTTTCAGTGCAAATTATCAATGCTTATTGACAAATTGCTCTCTCATCTTCGTGAACAATTGTACAGAATTCTTGAGAAATCAGTCGTTATTCTCTTCCTATCAAGAATTCGATAACCTTATCGCATATTATACGGTAACAATTGAATTTATTTTTACGATTGGCCCCATTTCTCAAACCTGAATGTTTCGTAAAAACTCATTTTGATGAAGATTGGGACGGAGTTAAACAAATTCACTTCTTGGATTTCTAGTCATGACGCATAGCAGAAATTACGAAAAAAAAACATCAAAGAATATTTCGAAACAGAAAACGAGGACCTTTCCTGTCTCAGAGAGTGATGCCTTATAAGGATAATATTCACTAGTGAGCAAAAAATTATTAGTCTATGCTGCAGCACCTATCTAGAGTATGTAGGGTCTTATGCGAATATGATAGCATCCCAAGAATTTTTGAAAGAATTTAGGAATGATATCTTGCTTGTAAAATTTATATTTTGGTGATTTTTTAGAGGCTTTCAGAAGTAACATTTTGTACAAGCTACTGTAGCTACATGGAGTTATGCTTGAAAGTCGTACAAGGAATTTTTTGTGAAATTGAAAATCACAGAAACTCCTTCAAATTTTTCCTTTACGATATCTTCTTCCAATCAAATCTCATCTTCATTATCTCCATTCGCCCTTTCACCTCGTGTGTGTGTTTTTCATTAGTCTTCACATCCCCCAGAAAAGAAGTCGAGGGGCGCTTGAAAGAGTCTATCGCTCGTCACATTTCGTCCACTTTTTTCTCTCTCACTTGCGCACGGGCGTACGGTAGCGGGGAGCGGCGTGGGGGCCGCTCGTGTGACATGACACTTCGACTCGCAGCCTATCGTCTCTCCAAGCACTTCGATGTTTTCACTTGACAGACACCGAACGGCTGCTCGAACGAACGTTTTTGTAGTTCCAGGACGTTGGGTGCGTGCGTGAATGTCTGTGTTTCCAATTATCCACTTTGGTTACGATATTTATGTGCGTCTGGTAAAAAGTAGAAAAAATTCAAAAAATCAAGATTTCTGAAAAGTAAAAGGATAATGTGCGAGAAGGGCATTTTGTTGGTATCTTCACAAGTATTTTTAAACCATAAATTAACACGCACATGAAACCCCGCTAAAAATATTAAGACATGAAATTTTGCGACACGCGCCTTTTGAGTTTTTTCTTCGGAGGAGGGAGAGGTGGGAGGGGGGGGGGGGGGGATGCGAAGTGGCATTTCAACATGATCCCAATGATAAGCAGACTGTGGTTTCATAGGTGGGGAAACCTTCGCTTGATACGGTAGGTAAGGCTTCAGAGCTCCTAGAGAATCCAGAAAATCCTCAAACAATTATTTGGTGAAAAAGTTCCTGAAGTGTTTCGTCTAATAAATTTAAGCCTCAAAAGCAAAAAGAAGATAAAAATGTATTCTTTAATTCAAGAAAACGATTTGTAAAGAGTCCCTATGGGGAGTGGGGGGGGGAATGCTGGAGAAAGACAGCAAATCAAAGAAAATGATCATGGCTTCTGCAATCTTTTTCCGTAATCTCGATCTGTGCGAGAGAAATGTCTACAATAACATCTTCCCTTTCCCTCCTCTCTCCCTCCCCCCCCCCCTCCCACTGTTTGTAAACTTGAATGACCGTACTCGCGTCCATCTCTACGCCCTTTTCTCTCTTAAACAAACATTTGTGTTGCGAAATTAGAGGTCGTGCCCCGTACAGTGTTCCATCGTCGTTGGTCGATGTCGCTCTAAGAATGATTTACTGCCCGTGGCCGATTATGCGCAATTAGTGTGCTGGTCGTAGAAACTGTTCAACAGTCGCTATGGTACGTACCGACGCTTCTCCACGTATTAAACTCTATTATAGGGGTGGAGGATAAATTAAAAGCACAAGTGTCTGGAAGTTTTTCATCGATTACGCCAAATACTAAATCATGGCTGGTCGTGAAAGTGTGCGGAAGATGAAATATAACTCTGAGTGACGAATAGAGTTGCTAGTTAGACTTTCAATTTTTGAAGTATTACATTCATTTGCTTATTATTTATACATGAGGTGTAGTTAGAAACGCAGTTGAACGAGTGGAAATTCAGTTTACATCAAAAAATCAAGTTTGTTAATTAGTAAAATAAAGTAATTGCAAAATTAGATTCACTGAGCTGCAAGCAAAATAACTCGTACTTTCATTGAATCTGAGCTCGATTAAACTAATGCGATGCGTCACAGGCAGGAAAAATTGAAGATTTCAAAGGGGAGGATGGCTGAGTGGAAGAATTTGCACGAAGGAGGTACGAGATTGAGAGGAAAGTACTGTCACGAAAATTGAAACTGGTAATGGGAAGCTGATTTTTTCAAACGAAATGAAATGCGGGGAGAGGGGAAGGAAGGGGGAGAGAAGAGCATTTTCACAAAAATCAGAATTTTTATAAGGGCCCGGAACGTGGGAACCCTCATGCGGGAAAAAAGGCTCAAAATTCACCATTGTGTTGCTAGTACTGTTCCGTTGCTCAATTCTGGTTCTGACGCCATTTTTATTCTTCTTCTTCACATTTTCTTGTTTTCTTAGCTAGGTCATTATTTTTTTTGTTCTGGAAAGAAGGCTGCCAAGTTCCAACGAGATTCGAAGAGATAAAGCCATATGTTTCACTATTTTCATTTAAGTGGATACCTTAAAACCTGTAAAAGTTAAAGAACCAATGTAGTGAAGTCAGTTATCAACAATCTATTCCTCTTCCCTCTCTCTTCTCACCCATTAGTATCTTTTACCTGAAAAAAAAGTGTGTCATGAAAACTCCCTCTTTTGTGGATTCTTCCAAATCACCCTGCCCTTTCTAAGTCCTAGCACCATCACCGCTAAAAACTCCGACGCAATCATAAGAAGTGCCTAACTCTTATTAACCGCTGATCATTTGCTGTCATGTCCATTTGCCTTACATGACGGATGTTTTGTTTCTTTCCACGCCACCACCCGAATGTACGGATGTGCATGGAAGGAGACACGAAGCGTTTATGATGCCCGCATGGTCATAAAGCTAAGCCTGTTTGGGGCTCCTGGCGCAACTCCTTTGCAGCTAGCTGGTCTTATCAGATGAAAAATGAGAAACTGCTATGAACGCTACTTGCAAGGGGTTTTGCGTCGAAAGTGGTAGCTTGGGTGCATTTGAGACAAGGGAAGGGTGCGTAAAATTTCTGACTTAAGAGTTGGTGAAATTCCGCCAAAATTTAATCTCCTTGACAAGCTGTAAAACAAGGCATGGGTATACAGCTTTAGAAACGAGTTTCCTTGCAAGTAGTATTTGAAAGACTACTTCCTCGGAGACTTTTCCATTTCTTAGAAAATGCTGATTTTTTAGCTCTTTAGTTATTTTCCACCCGTCGGCTCAATTAAGCGCATATGATGACAAATAAGTAACTGCTGTACAATTATGGTGCATCTTACCATTAAAATTTCACACAAAATAAGTTTTTGTCATAAACATCTATATATTTTCTTCTTCTTTGTCTGGTAAGTTTCTGACTCCAAAACCCATGGAGTGAGAGAGCGCAATGTAACAGGAATGTCGGCCTCGAACGTTATTTCGATTCTAGGATTCCCATGAGAAAAAAATGAAAATGTACTTTTCTACTGTTATTTTCAGAAGTGAATGCATGACGATTAAGTCCGATATAGAAATTAAAGTTTCAAATCGCATAAATTCTTATTTATCGCGAAATAGATTTTTACCTAGATTTGCTGGCATATGTGCTTTACAGTTATAAAGCGACATTTTTGCCTACCACTGTGTCTAGAATGTACCGTACCCATTCAAAAAAGTCTTTTCTATGAATATCCTGTCCTGGTACATTTTATCAAATTATGCTCAACACAACGAAATGAACTCTCACAACTTGATTTAAAAGACAAATGATTTCAAATCTCTAGCTTGAAATGTTTACTTTAGCCAAGCAATGACCATACATTTGAGTTCTGTGTGGTTTCTAGGGATTGATTTTTGCTTGATTTCCCCTGAAATATTGAAAAAGTGGTGCAGATCTTCTGGAAATACCTCCATTAGAACTTGTCTCTTTCCGAACATTGACTTTTAGATGAATTTCGATCAAATTCCTTTCCACGGATGTAATGAATGATAAGATCGTTTTATGTCCTAATCTATCATTCGCATTGCCTTTTAATGTGCATCGCAGCCCTTTTTCTTTGTGAAAAACTTAGCTCGAGCGTCATTTCTCATGTTTTCAAACGAAACAATCCCACTTAATCTAATCAACACTCATCAGCAATCATCGCGGCATCTTTCATCTCGCATTTCCGTACCGCCATTCTAACACATTAAACGCTAATTTGTGCATGCACTTCACTATTCATCATTAGTCGTCTGAGTGTGTGCGGCCGCGCACACACGCTCGTTCCCACAAATATGGCCGATGTCGATATTGCAGAGAGCGCCTCGTTGCCGCCGGCTACCGTAATCGTCGGCTGGCGTGGATTGGTGCGTTACGCCTACGGCCCGTGCGCGGATTGGTCGGACACGCCCGGGAGGCGTGGCCACCGCGGCACCGCTGTCAGACGTGCGCGCTTCAGCAGTGTGATTTATTACCGCCACCGCGGCAGCTGATTTACGCACACCCCAGCAGGAAATGAGTTGCGCAGAATCCTACGGACCTCCTTATTATGATTGGCCACCACAGAGTGCTCCCTATGCTACGTATCCCAGATGTGAACCACCCAGGTAAAGATCATTATTTTTCGATCAATAACTTTCATATCAGTCTTTGAATTAACCAATCTTTACCAACTATAACAGGTCTCGTCACGTCAATACAAGTCGTAATCATCCATCTAACCTTCCAAATAACCCCTTTTCCCCAATAAATCTTCCAAATCTCCCTAGTGCTGGTCCCGCAACGATAACTCATCAATTTTCTTCCAGGAACATAAATCCTCCGACAACGACAAACTCACATGTGTACGGGAATGTACCCCCTCCATCAACTAGTGAAATATGGTCTGTCGGGGCCCCGACCTTTCAACAACAACAAGCCACAGTGAATAATACTTATAAATGGATGCACACAAAACGGGCACACAAACCTGCGGGTGAGTTTTTTATTTTTACTTTTCTACATTTGTATTTTTAACGTTTATTTTGCTTTGGTAAGAGTTGAGGTTGAAAATGTTAAAGGCAGTAGTGATTGGCGAAGTTTGTATCTGTAAAGGACGTGGTATTTTCTCTCTATATTCCCCCCTCCCCCCCCCCCTTACACCCGTATTTTCAGGGAGTTCTTCTTGAAAGAAAGTTGTTTACTTTCTCCCCTGTTTTGGTTCCCAATTTAAAACATGATAGAGAACATTTAGATGAGTAAATATGTACAGAGTTCAAATTCATCGTCCTCTCCTTGTCTTTTGAACGAGTTCAGATTTTTTTATCAGCTTTCGTCACCCTTGCGTATCTATCAAGTAATTCTTGTCTGGAAATGAAAAGATTACTTCTCTCCTTTCAGGAATCAAAAATTTCTTCGAGTTTCCCATCTCCCCCCCCCCCTACCCCCGCCTTTCCAAGACCACCACCCGTTGAACTCTAAAACGTTACAAAACTTTTTGACCATACCAAATTACCGCTCCACTTTTCCCACCACGCACTCCTCTACCCTTTACCGCCAACCCCTCCAGTACCAGCACGTATCTCGAAACCCCAAACAAATCCTGTCCAAATCTCTTTGCGCCAGATCCGCCACGTCTTCCCCTTCTCCCCGTTTTGCCTAAGGTCAATTGCGGTAATTCGGCCTTTGAGACTATGGCACCGCCATAGAATCATGGGGGATCATTACGTGATAGGGAGAGGCTATATCAGGCGCGCCGCACAGGACACGCACCACCAGTTTTTGGCGTCATTGATGCTGACATATTTGACACTTCTACCCACGCTGCGATAAGAGAATTTCTCACACAACTTTACAGTAACCTTGAGACAAAAAAGCCTTGCCATGAATCATTTTGCTGATATTTGTTTGACTAGTTCCAGTATAGACCAGTTTATTTATGGGGCCAAGTCAGATTAGAGTCACTATGTTTGCTAAATTTGGAGTTGCCGATGTCTTGATGACAAGTGCTCTATAAACATAGATGATAGTCCAGAAATAGTACAGCCCATTTTTTTCTTTGTGAAGCGTTTCTCTTCATAAAAAAAAGTTCTGTCAGACTTTTACGAATATCGCCTCGTTGAGTAAATTATCAGCATCAAGAGCAGGAATTCTGCTATCCAAAAGGGCTAATTCAGTTAAAAAGAAAGCAGGGTCAGCATCTGACGAAATTGTAGAAAGATCTAGCTTTTTATAAAAGCGCTTATGCATTCCCCTGAACTATGAAAATACAGTTTTGTCCGCCTACGGGATCCCATTTGGATGACTAGGACTTCATGGTAAACCTGGGTTTTAGAATCATAACTCAAATTTTGAACAATTTTTTATAAATCAAGTAGTACATCATATCCACTATAATCAGTCTTCTAATCTTGTAAGTAGCCCTGGTCAAGCAGCTTCCTAACCCTGTTCATTTTTTGTGCCAAACTTCAGGGTCAAGAATTAGATATGCTAACTTCCTTCTTCCATTTGGAAAGTTTTTCACTTGTTTTGTCCTTTGCATGAACCTGGGCATGAGAGCTATGAGTCAGGCCTATGAGGAAGACGGTTGGTTCGGCTTTGATAGTCAGAGAAGCTCTAATTAATTTGTTTGACACAAGAATAATCTAAGCAATTTTTATCAATTAACAAAATGTCAAGTTTGATCCTCGGCTTTTTATCTCTTGAAAACAAATAGCTACAGAAAGTTGAAAAGTTTCCAACATTTTTGAGGATGACTACCCTCCTCATTCAGTGTTAGCATAAATCAGTTAAATATTCAACATTTTGAATAATCTCAAACAATTGACCATTTCATCTAATAAATGCTTTCAACGCTTCGCGAAGTTTTACTTGCATTTGTGAACCTCAATTTTTGTCTTCAGCATTTCGAACTTCATTTCAAACACTCGTTGAATACACAATTTGCTGTTTCCCATGTGAAAACGAATCGACCAGCGGCGCTGTTCCCATCCGTCTTTTCCACGCTATGCTTGCGCTGACATTTTGCTGACATCGAAAAGATTCATGGGCGTTTTCTTCTGGGAACACTGGTTTGGTAGAGCATGCTAATAGCGTATCATCACATTGACTGACTTTTGACTAATTATGTCGAACAAACCATGGGCAGGGCGAGGAAGAAACCTTAGGGGGAAAGGGTGGGGGGGGGGGGGGTTAGAGGTAGTTCCTGTTGGAATTATTGATTAGTTTTAGAAATGCAGAATTTTGTATATGCGCATATATGTGAGTGTATGTGTGTGAACGAGATGTCACGTGATAATCGGGTGGCGCTGCGATGTCAATCAACTGACGCGATGCGCTGCGCGTCATACGGTAGTCCAGTCTCGTCCCAGAGCGTTTACACCCGGCTTCCGCCCTTCTCCCTACTCTTTCCAATGGAAAACTCGTTTCTTAGCACATCACCAAAGTCCTCTATCGGTTGTATTGATTTATTGATCGTTTCAGCACCAAAACGAAAAGTTGTGGATGAAAATGGCACAAATAGGACAAACTTCAGTACACATCAGTTGACGGAGCTAGAGAAAGAATTCCATACGGCCAAATATGTAAATCGAGCCCGGCGGACGGAAATTGCACAGAATCTAAAGCTAAATGAAGCACAGGTATCAATCAATAAATCGATTTTCTCATTACAACATTTTTCTGATCGAATATTTTCTTGTAGGTGAAAATCTGGTTCCAAAATCGGCGAATGAAGGAGAAAAAACGTGAGAAAGAAAAGGCGTTTCTTGCTAGGAATGTGATGCCATGGGACAACTCACCACCATCGGACGATGTCAAATTGTCATTACTGTAGATCATTATTCTTTTAGACGCTAATCGATTATTGATCAAATTTATCTTCACAAATAATTATTTTCTCTTGTGTAAATTCGCGTGTGTACGTTGTCATCGTCCCATGAGTGCGCGCATGCTTTGCGTGTGCGCGCAATGGATCACAAACGCTCATCGCGCCACGGGTCTTTCATTGATTTTTCTGTCTGCTCTCCTGCGTCTCCTTTCTACACATGATTCTGCTCTCGCTGCAGTGGCGCATGCGCACGCATGACTCTGCGTCTCTACCAGCATATTTTTGGAAATTTCCATGTTTTACTGGTTACAGAGAGGTGTCAATGTTGTTGTTATTTCTTATCGATACTGCACTTTTTGTACCACTTAGAACAGACCAAGAAGTGATAACAACTACCGTAACATTCTGGGACGCAGCCCTGCTTCTCCTGTCACATTTGATCACGCTTAAATTTGCGCAAACGACCATATGTGTATCGCGCGTTTTTCTTGGAGAGCAGATTACGGTAATTGCTTGGATTCCCCTAGAACTTTTTTTTCACTGCTTGACTGTGTTTCTTTGAACAACATACGCTCAATGCGACTTCTCTTCAAGTGTACACATATATGTAAGAATTATTGAATAAAGGTTAAGATATAAATATAAGTGAAAAATGATGAACACTGCTTTGTTTATCATATCAAACACTGAGTAAATATAAACAGATTAACTGTTTTTATTATTATATAAAATTATCGTATTTTAAAAACCATCAAAGTGTGGAACTTGTGCCTTTCATGTTCGATTCAATGACTTCATTCAGAAAGAAAAAAAAATAAAACAAAAAACGTCAAACAAAAAAAACTCAGTCCGTTTTTGGATTAGAACTGATGTTAGAAACTATACGTTTTATAACAGCATAAAAGTACCCACGATGTATTTTTAACTTAGTAGCTGACCCCTTACTCATTGACTTAAAGGTAAATTTGGAAAGGAATTTGTTTTCATCGAGCTATAAAAGTTTCTATTCTCACTGTGTAAACTATTGGAACATAAAAAATACGAATTCCAATAAAATGTCAAAACAAGTGTAGATCAAGTGTGAATGTTATGGCCACCCATCACCATTCATTTTCGTTATGCTTATTTTTTGCCTTACTTCTTGCATTCATTCTTGCTAGTAAGAAAACATCGGGCAAAAGTGTGTGAAAAATTCAAGGTCTTCGAAATTGAATTAAATGCATTTTTATATAGATTGATATTCGGATCAAATGTAAATTGCTAGCTTATTCGAGAAAAACAAGAAACCAAAAATATCTTAAAAAAAATAAGCTCCTTTTTGGGAATGGATAGGAGCAAAATGGATGGCTGGGTGATGGACAAGAAACATCCAAATTTTTCACAGATTGAAATCAACGTTAAAAAAACTTTTAAAATATATGTAGTAAAGACATTTGGTTTGTGATGCATACTGTGCGCGATATGACGAACGCTTATGGATAAACAGTTGGTAAGGCTCCGGGCATACTTCACGCGATTTCAGTTGCGATGCGTTTGGCACCGTGCCAGATGTCTTTGCAAGCAACATTTGCAGACTACATTTGTATTGTGTGTATAACTATAACTTCAGCAAAATACCAATGCTATCTATCTTTGTACTTTCAAAAATCATTTACGATGAGTTATAAACGATTAAAGTTTTGCCAAATCACCAAATCGCGTCACGACTAAAATCGCGTGAAGTAATTGCGTGAAGTATGTCCGCGGCCAAAAAGTGCCCTAGTGGAACAAATCGTCTAGAAATAATTATTTACACTTGCATGTATTCATTCGAGAGCATGCACCCATTTACATTTCCTCAAAAGAGGAGAAAATAGGAATTTTTCGGGGACTGAGAAAGTGAAGCACATAAGCCATGAATTTACGAAAATACAAAGTTTTTTTTTGCATGCATTAGTTACAGTGAGTGAATCGCTTATCAATGGATTACAAAAGTCTTGTTTTCGCTAAAAAAAATAGTGCATTTTTTTGAAAAACTGCTTCCCAAGGTCTGGCCCTGCCTTCAACGATTCTCTGAAGGTCTCCCAACTACTGCCAGGGCCCGGTGACTTAGTTTTTGTCACGATCTCTCCTCTAATCCACTTATCATCAGCCAGCTGCGTTTTGGACCCAGGCGGCATGGCGTTTGATGTTGACTGACAGTATTGCAGTAATGCGCGAGCGGTCCGTCGTACTCTCAACACGCGCCTCCTGGGCTCTCCCTGATTGTGGTAAATAGGTTGGGAGATGATTATAAATGAGTAGCAGGGATAGATAAGCCCACCCCTTCGGCCTTCGTTTTGTTCAAATCAACAAGAACAACTGATAACAGAAATTTTGTCCTTTCGTTAAACCTCGCTTTTTACTCAAAGTTACAAGGATTTTCAGTGAGTCCCTATAATCCTCTTATACTTTTCTTTGATCCACAATTGCGTCTAAAACAGCAGCTTACCTATAATGACCCCGAATCCTACAATTTTCTTGTCAGCCATTTCTAATCTAAAAAGAGCCGCAGTCCGGCTTTCTCATCATGTCACCGATCCTTAGCACAATGATAATTGACTTAATTAAAGGTCAGCATGATCTAATCATCAGATCGTACAGATGACTATTGTAGAATAAGCCAATGGAGTATTGTATCGAAGGAGATTATCTCTTTTGTGGAAAGTTCAAGTCTTAGGGTTACTATTTGGAGAGACTGAGCACTTCCAAGAATAAGGGGCTTTTTCGAAAGCTATCATACTGATAAAATCAGAGAAGCAGGTCTATTGACTGCAAATTCAAAAATTAGGTGATAAATTGAAATTGCTGAAGATATTTGTTTGGTGGAAGTTTCAGAAAATTTACAAATCCAGGGCATGTGGCGCACTCCACTTAAGAGAAATTCTGTTCCCTCACTTCCTTCCACCCCCAGGATACTAAATGATGCAAGTATGTACCCGTAGTATACGATTAAATTGAAGCTTTATTCAGTCAGAACGAAAAGCCCGGTCAAAAACAAATGCACTTAAAAAAGACATAGTTGAAGAACAGACTTCATCTCTTTAGAATTCACACACATCTAAAAATACAAAAAATGTTGCCTTTTTGAGCCATGTCATTGCGCATGTCCCACTAACAACGTATTTTTTCGAAATTTTCTAAAAAATTAGTTTTCGTAGGTTTTTTACTTAGATTTGTACGATCATCTGTGAAAATGTGTGTGGAATTGCACGATTTGTAAACATCTTCGAAAAAATATTTGCGCACAGACTTTCATGAAAACAAGCTAAACTGCAAAAAAATTATCTTCCTTATGCGGGAGCACTTTGGTGGGAAAATGCGCAATAAATTTTGTCCTGGCACTAATCAATTTTAACTAATACTCATCCAGAGAAAACTCTTAGCTAATCGTTTGCATGAGGCCCACTCGATCTCCTCATCATTGTTTATGAGTACACATTGTTTATGTTCAATGCTTGCACGAGTGGGTACTTCAACTGCTGTTGGGCGAAGTTTGTTGCGTCATTACGAGGGCTGAGCAGCAAAGCAAAGAAGCGGCCGGGCAGCATCAAAGACAGAGCGGATGCTGTGACAGTCAACATGATGAATCGACATTGCTTTAGCGTACAGATAGTGAGGTAAAAGAAGTTTTTGGCGGGATAGGGGGGGGGGGGGAGAATTTATGGGAGGAGGAAGGGATCAGAAAAGCTTTACGGGTTAGGTCGCGCGTGGAAAGATGGAAGTGAAATGGGAATGTGCGCAAAGTTTGGAATGGAAGATGCTTAGAGATGGTTACGGTATACACCGTAATCCCACGTGGCCACTCCAAGCACTTCAGCCACTGCTTCAAAGGCTAGAAGAAAAAGTACCGTAACTCCTTGCCGCTACCGTAACCTATTCGACAAACATGACCCAAGGTTTATTTGAGCTTCTGCTGCTAATCCTTCCCGAATCGTAATGTTTATTATGCAAGCGAGCAGCGATGATCGTAGCGATCGCATGGTGTGTCGCAAGCTTTGCGAGTCGGCTACTTGAAAGCCCGGTCATGACAGTGTATGATGCATTGACATGGGATATGTGCCAGGATTAGAGGCTCCCCTCATGACAACAATAGCATCAGCATAACCCGAGATCAAGCAAGCACGATAAGGGGCTCGGCTAATTGACTGGAAAAATTGCGGTAATAGGAGATGGGGAGGGAAAGGGAAGAAAATTCAGATCTCGGAAAAAAAATAGGAATACGGAATGAGAAGCAGCAAGATTTGGGAAGTTATCAAAACAAGGTTTCACCCTAGAAAGGCGAATTTGTAATTTGCGGCTCACCAAACTTGATCTTTGAGCAAAAAAAGTTCTCAGAAAAACAATTACTTCCGTTGCATTTCCTCCCCCCCCCCCATTCTTCCACCTTCTCACGTCGAACCTCCTCAAGCGCTTACATCAAAAGGATTTTCCTGATGAACGATGATGGATGAACGAATCGTAGGGCTCTGACAAGCACAAGCTGTGCGTGTGTTGGTGCTGCAGTGCTGTGCAATCGCAGCGATGTGTTACTTTGAAATTGAAGGGGTCGGAAGTAGTTTCGGGAGATTTCTTTGATATGTGGGTAGTGAAGAGGAGAGGAGCTTAGGAAGATCAATCACATTCCATGCTCACATAAAGCTGAGAAAATCGATTTTGTACAAATTTAATTGCTGGAGAAGTAAGAAGTGGGAAGTCGTCTACACGAAATCGAGAACTATTACATAGGAACGGTTTCTTAGACAAATCACCAGAACTTCCGCAGGACAAGCCAAATTTGCAGAAGTTCCGCAGGACTTTGTTCACTGTTGCAAAAACGCAAACGTTGAAAATCGGAACTTTTGCGGGATTTTCATGCCAAACTGGTTGAAAACCGGAACTTCCGCAGGACCTCCTTCAAAATCCTGATATTCCGAAAAATGCCAGAGGTTCCGCAGCACTTTGGCCTGCCAGAACTTCCGCAGGACTTTGAATGTGTTGTCTGTGATGTTGTCTCGCCAACAACTAGAGTGTATTATAGAACATGTCAGCCGTAGCGTAGAGGGTAGTAGGTGGGTCTCACAGTCAATAGAGTGAGGTTCAAATCTCGCCCCGGTGTTCTCTTTTGCTGTTGTGGTTGGCATGCTTTGGAACTTCCGCAGCACGTCTGCGGAACTTCCGCAGGTGACCCGGCGGAACTTCCACAAGCCCTCTCAAACCCCCTGAGGTTCCGGTAATTTGTCTGAGTTAGTGCTGTTAAGCGGTAAAATATCCTTTCTGAAGGTTGGGAGGAGCGGGGGGGGGGGGGAGGGCAGGAAGAAGCTTCTTCAATATTCCCCCAAATGCGTTGTTTGGGAGATTTGAGAATGTGGTACTTTACCAAATGCATGGCTTCAAAAAATGCAAGACTACTTGGTGATTCTAAATTACTAACAGATATTTTAAAAAAAACAAATTTGCCCTGTTCAAGTGTGGGTTTCTCTAAGATTGAGATTGCCTCAATCTGTAAAGCTGCCTCAAAGATTCTTTTACGGTGGAAGTACGTCAGAATTTTTTCCAGGTTTAATGAATTCGTTCAAAATAGTCTACAGAAAATAAAAACTTTACTCTTTCTCAACTCAAGCAAGAATCATCCATGTCATATCAC